TAAGAATATGCAAGACCATTCATGCAGGGCCATTTGCAATGTGCTTACTGGTATTTCTAGGGTTAACTCTGCCAAGTATTTAGGGATGCCCCTAGGTATTGGTAGTTCCAAGAGGGACACCTTTCAGTTTGTGAGTGAGTGCGTTAAAAATAGAGTGAAGAATTGGAAAAATCAGTTCTTGAGTGAAAGTGAGAAGAAGACTTTAATAAAAGCTGTTCTTAATGCCCTTTCTACTTATATCATGTCTGTTTTAAAATTCCAGTTTCTATAGTTAAGCAGCTTTGTCAGGATATTGCTTCCTTTTGGTGGGGTAAGAATGAGGTAGAGGGGGAATAGAATTCATTGGGGAGATGGGATCTGTTGGTGAGGGATAAGGAGAGTGGAGGGTTGTGTTTTACGGACCTACTTGCCTTCAATGATGCCCTGTTAGTTAAACAGTTGTGGAGGTTCATCAGCCAACCCAACTTGCTAGTTAGCAGAGTGTTAAAGGGCAGATATTACTGACAGACTAACTTATTTGAGGCCAAATCTAAATCCAATGACTCTTGGTTGTGGAGATGTCTGCTCTCAGTTAGAAAGTTTTTACAGCTGGGTGCTAGAATTACGGTGGGGAATGGGTCTGCCATTTCAATCTGGGACTCTCCTTGGCTGCCTACAACCCTACCCTTCAAACCTAGTTGCACTAATCCTGAGATTAGACAGAGAGTGGGTTTAGTCAAGGAGTTAATGAAAGAGGGGGGTAGGGAATGGAATAGGGATCTGATTTTTCAAATATTTGAACCTGATATTGCTGATCAAGTTACTAAAATTCCCCTATATGCTCATGGGGGAACTGATAAGTTGATTTGGCATTGGCATCCTAAGGAGAAATTCTCAGTGCATGAGGTGTACAAGGCAATTAGAAAGCTTAAAACCCAAAGTCAGATTCATTCTAGTTCTAGTTTGGACCCTACTTTGGTGGTTAAGATGTGGAGGATTATTTGGCACCTAAATATAAAGCCCAAGGTAAAGTGTTTTCTCTGGAGATGCTGGCATGAATACATTAGTTTTAAAGCTCAGTTGATTAGTAGGGATATGGTTGTGGATGGAGTGTGTGCTACCTGTGGGGAAGAATGGAAGACTTAAACCATATTCAGTTCAACTGCACTAAAGCCAAAGTCTGTTGGAAAATGAGTGGGTTGCATTGGACTGCAATGAATGTAGAGCATGTTAACTTCCAATCTTGGTGGTTACAGATATGTGTTGCAAATAATTTGCAGCTCAAGAAAGACAAACTGGGGATGTCAGCATTTTTGTTGTGGCATCTGTGGAAAGCAAGGTGCAAATGGCTGTATAAGGGGGACTGGATACATGAGATGATTATTGTAACTGAGGCTAGGGTGAGTGGCAAGAATGGATTAGTCAATCAATTTCTCCTCCATCAACATTCTCTCATTAAGACAGTTGTGTCATGGAAGTATGTCAGTCTTTCATGACTCTCAGTGCTTCAGTGTCTAGTGAGGGAGGTGCTCTGGTGGATTGTATTTTTGAGCAAACATGTTCTTCTCCTATCTGTTGGCATGGAACTTTTCACAGAATTTGGGATCTGCAAGAGGCAAGGTGGAGGGCCATCCAGTGGAGTCTGCAGCAAGCTAAAGACCATAACTTCAAAAACTTCTTACTGCTCCCGGATTCCACTGATATGGTAACAGCTATTACCAAAAGTTCTGTGCAGCTGGAGAATCTGAGCTCTGTTCTTTTAGATATTAGGCTTTTGGTTCAGGATTGTAATGTGTTAGTAGACACTATGTTTTAATTGGTTGATCTTTGTTTAGGCTTGTAGCCTCTTAGGGGTAGGTTTATCCTATCTTGTGCTTCTTGTGTCTTGCTGTAGACCGAGTTAGCTGTGGTCACTTGATCACCGTGTAAGACTTGCTTCTGAGTTATATTTAGTTGTTTGGTTATCGTTGGAAAAAAAAAAAAGCCTACTGCATGTTGAATCACTGATTTCTGGTGAAAGTTAATCAACCATTTATATAATAATGTATATGGAACTATTAAAAAAATATAAATATAAATTAATTGTTATAAACTTATATCAAATGAAAATAAAAATTAGTTTTTGCACCATATTTGTTAGTTTTTATAGATAATATAAAAATAACAATAAAAACTTTAGGTTCTTACTAGATATGTTATCTATTTACAATTTTTTTATGAAAATGGAAAAAATTCATTTGTACATCTCCGAATTAACAAAATAATAAAAAATTCATTATTATTTATATTATAAAAATATATTTATTATTTTAATTTTTTTATTTTAATTTGTTGTTCTATTTTTGGCTGAAAATACACAATAAATGATATAAAAGTTATTTATATATAATTTGGTTGGTTTGGATATTTTCTTTATTTTAAAAAGTATAGCTAAAATAAAACCTATATAATTCATTGGTTAGAATATTTTTGGGTATTTTAAAAAATATAGTTGAAAACGAAATGAAAAATAAAAGTAAAAAAAGATAAATATATAGGGAAATTTTGATTTTTAAATGTTAGATATTTTTAGTTTTATTGGTTGAAAATACTAATGTATATTCTCCAACACAAGAATTCTTTAAAATACACCACAACTATTTGACGTGCAATTTCTCAAGTAATAATGTACATTTGTTAATGTTTTTATAAATTACATATTTGTCCCAATTGTAAATTAAAAAATATCCAAAATTTCCAAATAGGTCCTACAGAGTATCTTATTTGGAAAATAAAGCCCACAGACCAAAAATTACAGTCCCGTGCACAAATTCGGCAAGATGAATTCGGCAATCTACAGGCAGCGAGGTACTCGTTCGGAACCCTTTGCGATGGTCGAGATGTGTCGATGGTTATAGATCGTCTAACAAAGGCAGTGATGGTCGTGTGCAGAGAGGCGGTAGCGGCAGCAGGCGCATACAGAGCGACAAAGGAGACGGCGGCTGAGAGCAGTAGGTTTGCGGAACGGTCTTTATTCGACGGTTTCCGGCAAGTGTAGCTCGGATCTCCAGGTCGGCGGCCATTGTCTGGAACTGGGACGGCGAAGATGGTGGGCAGAGAGGGCATGCGTC